AACCTCCAGTGTAAGATATGGAACATAACCAATACTCTAGAAGCACCTTACCATGCCATGTGCCTTCTCTTTTTCTTTCTCTTCCTTGGCCCAGAGGTATTCACTCTTCTGAATTCTATTTATTGCTCCTTGTTTTTCCGTTCTACCATAAATGCATGTGCCATAACCTGCATGGTTTCATTCTGCTTGTTCTTTTTTTTTTTTAACATTTTATTTAATTTATTTAATTATTTGACAGACAGAGATCACAAGTAGACAGAGAGGCAGGCAGAGAGAGAGGGAAGGCAGAGAGCTGCATGCGCGGCTGATCCCAGGACCCTGGGACCATGACCTAAGCCAAAGGCTGAGGCTTTAACCCACTGAGCCACCCAGGCGCCCCCCTTTTTTTTTTTTTTTTTTCCAGGAGGTTCCACACCCAGCATGGAGCCCAATGCAGGGCTTGAACTCACAACCCTGAGATCAATACTTGAGCTGAGATCAAGAGCTGGACACTTAACTGACTGAGCCACCTGGGCACCCCTCATTTTGCATGTTTTTAAAGCTAATATATGTAGTCATGCCATATGTATCATTTTGTGACTTGCTTTTTTGACTTAATCTTTTGTTTTTGAGATGTTTTTATATTAATAGCTACAGCTATAATTTATTAGTTTTTATTGCTGGATGGTTGGCCATTATATGAATATATGAATACTCCAAAAATTATTTTTTCATTGTATTCTCAGTGTACTTTTACTACCCCCCTTCCTTTTTTCTTTCTTTCTTTTTTCTTTTTCTTTTCTTTTCTTTTTTTTTTTTTTTTGGTGTCCATTCAAGCTCCTTTCTTTATGGATCATTTATTCCTTTTTTTTTTTTTAAGATTTTATTTATTTATTTGACAGAGAGAGACATCACAAGTAGGCAGAGAGGCAGGCAGAGAGAGGAGGAGGAAGCAGGCTCACTGCTGAGCAGAGAGCCTGATGTGGGGCTCAATCCCAGGACCCTGAGATCATGACCTGAGCCAAAGGCAGAGGCTTAACCCACTGAGCTACCCAGGTGCCCCAGGATCATTTATTCTTATATGGCTTCTTTTTGTGAGGCTTATAATGATTTTTTTCCTTCTTACTTGACCTCATTCTGGGCCCTACTAAATCTTTCACACAGTCACTCAGCCTATATTTTTCCATGGAATCTCTTTGATGAAGGCTACTATGGACTGTCATAGAATGTCAATTTTGTAAGAAGACAAGACCCCTAATTTTTAAGGAAAATTTAAATATAACTAATTAAAATAATAACAAGAATGAAATACTTCATGGGACTTTCAATATCCCTAACTCACTCTATAAAAGTACCTTATTAATTTTAATTACTAAATTTTAATTACTAAATTTTATAATTTTAATTTTAATAATTTAAATTTAGTAATTGTAATTACTAAAGTTTATACTAAAAAGTATAAAATTATTCAAATTACAGTCCTGATGTTTATAGCAACATTATGGACAATAGTGAAATTATGGAAAGACCCCAAATGTCCATCGACTGATGATGGATAAAGAATATTACTCATCAAAAAGAATGAAATATTGCCATTCACTATGATGTGGATAGAGCTGGAGTATATTATGCTAAGTGAAGTAGAAAAAGAAAAATAGCCGTATGATTTCACTTATATGCGGAATTTAAGAAACAAAACAGATGAACATGGGGAAGGGGGAAAAGAAAAGAAGGAAGCAAACCATAAGAGACTCTTAACTATATTGAACACCCTGAGGGTTCACAGAGGGAGAGGTGTGGGGGATGGGCTAAGTGGGTGATGGGGTAGTAAGTAGGGCACTTGTTGTGATGAGCACTGGATGTTATATGTAAGTGATGAATCACTTAATTCTATTCCTGAAACCAATATTACACAATACGCTAACTACTTAGAATTTAAATAAAAACTTGAAACCAAACAAAAGACAAATAAACAAACAAAAAAACAAATTATCTTTCTAAAAAGTCAAAAGAATTTTGTATCAAGTGGGTGTATATAGTCAGTAAAGACAGGTGGTACTTAGAAGGTAGAAAACTGTTTCTTGGGTGCCTGGGTGGCTCAGTCAGTTATGTTGTCTGCCTTTGGCTCTGATCGTGATCTTGCAGTCCTGGGATCAAGTCCCTCATCTGGTTCCCCGCTCCCTCCCTCTCTCTACTCTCCCCCACCTCTCGTGCTCAAGATCTCTCTCTGTCTCTCTCTCTAAAATAAGAAAGAAAATAAAACTTTCTTTTTGTTGTTGTATTTTTATTTTTTAAAGATTATATGTATTTATTTGACAGAGAGAGACACAGAAAGAAAGAGGGAACACAGCAGCAGGGAGCCGATATGGGCATCGATCCCAGGTGCCAGAGATCGTGACCTGAGCCTAAGGCAGCTGCTTATCGATTGAGCCACCCAGCCGCCCAATGAAACTGTTTCTTATCACTGGGACCTCACCAACTCCTGACCTTTATCCAACAGGATCAGCTCAAGTTAGCCCCCTCAGGCTAATTATTGACAATTATAGTTGTAAAAATGTGGCATACTGTGCCCTTTCACCTATGGCTAACAGCAGTGAATGTTCAGATGGTCGCATTATGCACACAAACACAAAGGGCTTGGAGATGGTCCACTATAATCCACAGTAGTACTACAGGAGAGTAGTTTCCTGGGACACTATAGTTTCTTTTCAATTTCTTTCTTCAAGCAATTAGCCTTTATTGTCAAATTGGGTCTTTGAAATTATTACAATGAGACGTTACAATAGTCAGACTAATTAGGGGACAGGCCATTACAAGTAAAAGTGTTTGAACAATGCCTTGACCTCAAATTTTTAGGTTGGCCAATCAGAGATTTACAGTTGCAGGGTTAATTTGCATGATATCATAAATGTGCTGAAAGAACTTCCAAAAGTTAGTGTTCTAAAAAAGACTTAAGCAAGACCAATGTTTTAGCAAGAAATGGGCCTTGCTTTTTTTAATTTAGTATCTGTAATAATTAACATTTATTTAACATTTATTTTGTGCCAAGAACTGTTCTAAGTGGTTTCTGTATATTTACTAATTTATTACTATTTAAAAAAATATTTTACTTATTTATTTGACAGAGATATCACAAGTAGGCAGAGAGGCATGCAGACAGAGGGGGGAAGCAGGCTCCCCGCTGAGGAGAGAACCCCATGCGGAGCTTGATCCCAGGACCCCGAGATCACGAGATCACGACCCAAGCTGAAGGCAGAGGCTCAACCCACTGAGCCACCCAGGCACCCTAATTTAATACTTCTTCAAACTCTATCAGGGAGACAGGAAGTCTTTACCACTGCATTTTACAGATGAGAGAACTAAAACACAAAAGGAACTTGTCCACATTCACACAGTTAATAAGGGGCTATTATAATTTATATGGTTTCATAATAAGTTCATATGTTGAAATATTAATTCATAAATCCATATGTTGAAACTCCAACCGTCCAGTACCTCAGAATGTGAGATTATTTGGAAATAGGTTCATTACAGCTGCAATTAGTTAAATTAAGATGAGGTCATATTAGAGCAGGGTGGGCCCCTGGTCCACTATGACTAGTGTCCTTATAAAGAGGGGAAATTTGGGCACAGATGTGAACAGAGGGAGGATGCCATGTGAAGGTGAAGTCAGAGATGGGGTGATGCTTCTACAAGCCTAGGATGCCAGAGATTGCAAGTGTAGCCACTAGAAGCAAGGGGAGAGGCATGGGACAGATCCTTCTTCAGAGGCTTGATCTCAGACTTCTGGCCTCCAGACTGTGATCATAGATCTCTGTTGCGGATTTGTGATACTTTGTTAACCTAACCCTTGCAAATTAATACAGTGGTAGAGTCAGGATCAAACCCAGGCAGGAAGGCTGCAAGATGTGTGCGCTTATCACCTCATTCTCTGCCTTTCCCATAACAGAACTAATCAAAATAAAAACAGACACCAGTGCAAATCAATGGCACAGAAGTTACTGACTGGCTTTCCAAATCTAGGCAGAGGAGCAAAACACTGACTATCTTTTTCCTGTGTCTGTACCTTGTGCCCTGGAGCCTTTTCTCTACCTCCTTCAGTTAAGGGACTGTTTCAGCAGTGGCTCTAGCCAAACACTTTTCATATAGATCTACAGTCTAAATGCACTGAGCTTGCGGGACTCTGAGCCTGTGTCCCTATTCGGCTTCAAAATCCAAACCTAACAGATTTTTGAAAGTGGCACTATCATTCTGTTAGTAATAGCCACATTTGTGCAGTTTTCTTTGGGTTAAAATTAAAAGGATGTGTCCTATTGGTGACAGAAGGAACAATGCGCTCCCCCCCCCCCGCCCCCCAGCAGTCATACTAAGCTGATATTGCCAAGGAAAGGAAAAAGCCGTGCAGATGGCTGGGCGACCTGGCACCGGGCCATGGACAGGTATCTTTGCAGAAAGTTCTGAACTGTGAGCGAGCTCTGGGCCCGGGGTTCCAAGCCCTGAAGTCAGGGGCGCTTTGCGGCGGAAGGAGAACTGCAACCAGGCGGGTGCCACGTGAGAGCAGAGGCTGCAGGGCGTGGGAGGATCAGGGTCTGGGTGAGGCTGAGGGTTGGAGCCGCCTGGAGGCCAGCCGGAAGACCACCTTCCTCCTGGGAGGGGGAATGGCCTGGGTGCCGAGCTTCTCCTGAGCCTCTGGAGCTTCTCCTGCGCCTCTGGACGTGGGCGCCTCTCTCGGCCCGCACAGTACACTCTGGCACGAGCACCAGCCGCGGTGTTCTAGCGCCAGCGAGGCAAAACCGGGGCTGCGGGCCAGAGGTGGGCGCGTAGGGTGGGCGTCTCAGCGGCGATTTCCCTGCAGGCCCTCGGCCCCAGGGGCGGCGCGTCCCTCCTTGCAGACAGCGGCAAAGGGAGCCTGGGCGCGGCGGCCAAGGCCGCCCACCGGAGTTCCGCGCGCCGGTTTTTTCTTTAAGCGCCCGGGCCGACGCGGGGCGGGGGTACACAGTCCTCACCGAGATGACCGCGGACCGCCGCAGGCACTTCGGAGAGGAGGAGGGCAGGAAGGAACGACGGAGGGAGGGGCGACCCACTTCCTGAATCGCCTGCAAACCCGGAGCGTGAGATCCGTCTGTGCGGCGCCGCGATGTCGGGAGGGTCGGCCCGGAGCCTCGCGAAGGTTGAGGCCGGCCGGGCGCGAGAGGCGGGGGGAAGCTCGGCGACTCACAGTCGTGTGTCTTGGTGTGGCTGCTCCGGAGCCACCTGGGGGGGTCCCCCACCCACGGGGATCGGGCCGCGGCCGTAGCGCGCGCGACCTCTCGGCGGCCTGGTCCTGGGATGGCGGGAGATTGGGGGTCCCCGTCGCTTTCCCGGCGGTGAGAGCCTCAGCGTCTCCCCCGCAGGAAGCGCGCCCCCGGGACCCGTCCCCGAGGGTCTGATCCGCGTCTACAGCATGAGGTTCTGCCCGTATGCCCAGAGGACACTCCTGGTTCTGAAGGCCAAGGGAATCAGGTAAGGACCCGGCAGCTGCTGCGGGGGCGGCCGGGTGGGACTCTCCGGTAGGGCCCCAGGGGCTTCCTTTCCTGCAAAATAAACCATTCTCAGACGTTCGGGGTGGGGGGAGGGGGAAAAGAAAGCAAATTTTGAACCCACTTCCCGGGGTGAGGGGTGGGAGGAATGCCACAGATGACAACAGTTAAGGACACCCCATTTCGATCAGTCTAACCATTTTTATGGATTTGGAAAGCTGAGGCTCTCGTAAGGTTGGTGGTTAGCGGAGAGCACAGGTAATGACCAGCAGGGGCTCTTTTAACTCTGGTCGATCTCTGATTCCTGGTGTGCTGCCCTTTGGCTTTACCCCCACCTTCTACATTCACGCCTGTTTTATGTGATCCTGTTTGCTGTTACTCTGATTATACAGCCCCTTCCCTAATGGTTGGCAGTTTATTTCAGTACCGAGTCCAGGCCTTACCCCTCCTGGCAGAGTCCTGAGTCAACTGTACTGTGCATATTTCTGTAGGTTGGGTTGTTGAGTCAAAGTGTGCATGCCTAAAAATTCAGTCTTCTGCGAAGCCTCTTTGAAATTAAAAACCAAATGTTTTTTGGCGTATTGGTTATCCATGGGAATATGCAATAGTCACTTGGTTCCTGACACCAAATGTCCATCGGCATTGGCTCCTTTCGAATGATCTTTGGAATCTGTTGAGCAGACATTAGATACTTGTGGTACGGAAGTTTAAAACATAGCTCCCATTCCTAAGAAATTTCCCATCCACGTGCTTAGGGTTTATAAACTAACTTTAGTCTTCTAGGGGGAGAATTTGGCAGACAGTTTTCCTTAAAAGAATGTGAGATGCATTCTAAAGGGAAAAAAAAGTCTTCAGATTAGCCATCATTTCACTAAGATTTGCATCTTATTTGGATGAAATTGATTCTGAACACATAGCAAAATGCTCAGCATTTAGTACCATTTATCCAGAACATTGTATTTTATCCAAATACTGCAGTATCTGCAGTATTAGGATTCCTTTATTGCAAGTAAGAGTAATCTTACTCAAATTGGATTGAAAAAAGATGTATCCTTTGCAGGAGGAAGGCACAGCTGGATTGGGGGATGTAGAGTCCTGGTTTCTGGGCCCTTCTGAAACTCCAGTTGAAAACAACCCCACCTTATTTACTGGGATAGTTTTCCAAGAAAAACTGAACTGGTCTTGCCAAAATAGTGTGTGTATGGGGGTGAAGAATGGTAACAGCCCCAGGTCCTGTAAACAACAGAGATCTATATTCGTGGATCCGGTTTTAGCTGGCTGCCCAGAAGACTTTCATTAGAGAGGTGCTAGATTTTTGCTACATGTATCACCTAACAAAGCATGGTTTTCTCTAAAAAGTACATCTTCCAGCTTGTTGTGGCAGGTATATTGACTTGTTGGCTCCTATTGTCAGGTTACCACATGCATGTGTGTTCTAAGAACCTTCTTTATTACAAAAGCCCAGGGTCTACCTTTTGTTTTCATGGTATAAAATTTCAGAAATGTTGATAATTCCTTGGCAGGGAGCTGGCCTTGTATTTCTTTTGATGGCTGGTACCCGAGTGTCCAATAATCTGTCAACACATGAACCACTTGATACAGAAATATCTTCTAGTGTTCAGTGTAGTATAATCCCTGTTTCCATCAGGGGTTATACATTTAAATCCTCAAACTAAACACTGTTCTAACTATTGAGGTGGATGGGGGAATGGGTTTGCATATACTGTTTTTGAGTAACTAACCTGTTCTATTGAACAATTTAACCAGCTTTACAATCATATGGCCCTGGCTTTAACAATTCTGTGAAACTTCCCTGTCTCATTTCTTCTACAATCTCTCAGGCAAGAAACAAGTTAGATCTAATTATAATTTGAATATAGCTTGGACTTCATCTGTTTTCTTCCTTTTGGGTTTGCTTAGTGTGATTTACCTATGTAACATTTTAAAAAATACCAGTGCATGGACATTTAATCTGCAACTTTATTTTATGGGTAGATTTTTTTGGATTCCTTAATAATCTTGTAAAATTGAGGAACTTTCTTTTCAATTTAGCAAAAGGAATTGAAATTTTTCATGTTAATTCTCATATACTAGGTAGTGAATACAATTGGTTACCTCAGATAATTTACAATTAGAATAAGCCCAAAATAGAGTATCTTTATCTTATTCACAATCTTGAGGCATTTGCACTTATTTATTCATTCATTCAACAAATATTTACTGAGTACCCTGAAACCATTTTTATTGTCTTCATAGCATTCATATCTGTTTTTAAAATTTCGCTCATTTACGTTTATTAATATGAACAAGGCACACAGAATCCCTGCTTTCATGGAGCTTACAATCTAGAGAGGTGACATAATGAACATGTAAATAAACGAGTGGTGTAATTTCAGATACATATCATCAGGTCAATGAAGAAAGTAAAACAAGGTGATCATCTAGTAGAGGCTCTAAGCAACTTCAGAGAGCATAGTTAGGGAGGGCCTCTTGGAGGAGGTGGCATTTGACAGGAGAAGACCGGCAGAGATCAGAGGAACAAAAAATGTAAATGCTTTAAGGTGAGAACCTGTTTGGCAAATTCAAGGAGTATAAAAACGCCAGTGTGGCCAGCTTGTAATGACCAGAGGGTAAATCCTGGGAACAGGTGTGACAGGTAAGAAAGGTCCAGATCACATGCTGTGGAGGGCTTGAAGTTTTATCCTCATTGCAATGAGGAGCAATCACAGGGTTGCAGGCAGGAGGATGGCCTGATCCAGTTCACTTCTATTGTGCAACACACAGGTAGGGAGGGCAGAGTGGAAGCAGAGAGGCTGCTGAGAGACCACTGTAGAGGTCGAGCTTAAAGCTGGTGTTTTGGATGAGGAGGCAGGGGTAAGGCTGAGAAAAGGCTCTGATCTGGAGATGTAGCTGACAGATCTTGTGATCCATTGGACTTGAGGAAGAGGGAGCAAGGGAAAAGGAACCAAGACTGAATCAAATCCTACATTTGGGGTCTGGTCAGCTGGGTAGATGGTAGCTCCAGTGAGGATTTGCTCAGAAGTACCCGTCCCCCCCAAAAAAAAGTTCCACTGTCTTCATTGTCTTCTGTGTCTCTTTCAGGCGTGAAATCATCAACATCAACCTGAAAAGTAAGCCTGAGTGGTTCTTTAAGAAGAATCCCTTTGGCCTGGTGCCAGTTCTGGAAAACAGTCAGGATCAACTGATCTACGAATCTGCCATCACCTGTGAGTACCTGGATGATGTATATCCAGGAAAGAAGCTATTGCCAGACGACCCCTATGAGAAAGCTCGCCAGAAGATGGTGTTTGAGTTATTTTCTAAGGTGTGTGTATAAGAAATTTCAGCTCCTGTTTGAAAAAAAACTTTGTCTTTTAAGCTAAATCAGTGCTGTCATTTATGATTCAGTGAGGTGGGAAAGGAAAACACAGCTGTGTTCTTATCTGCAAGCCCTTCGCCATCTGGTGTCTGCTTCTTGGCTCTCCAAAGTCAGCCCTCTTCACTCTTCAGGCACTGTTCCTGCCACACTGAATGTTTTGTTTTCCCACGCTCACCTCCTACTCCTGAATGCTTGCTGGAAGGCTCTTCCCCTTTCTCACTTTGCCTTGTTATCTCTAAGTCCTCTTTCATTTATCTCTTTAGCTTCTGGTGCCTTCCAGAAGCTTGTCCAGGCGGGGTCAGTGCCCAGCTCTGTGGTCCCTCAGGTGCTAACTTCTCCTGGTCAGTGAGTGCCCACCTTCTTGCCTGTGTGTTATACCCAGACTCTGAGCTCCTTTTGGGTGAGGCAGTGTTCCCATCTCTGCTGGCTCACTGTCCAGGTCTGTGACCAGCTCTGCATGACCTAGTGGTGTGACTCTGAGGAAGTTACTCATTTACCTCTGTGCCTCAGCTTATCATTGAGGAGTCAGAGGAGTATAATAATTTCTCTCTTCTTGTAGATAAAAACCAGTTTATATAAAACACCTAGAGCAGAGTCTGACTCATGGTAAATGCTATGTTGGCTCTCTGGCCAAGGAGTCTAGCAGCAGGCATCTACTTTGTGTTGGCTGTAGCTATTAGCTGACCATGTCAATGGCATTCCTGTAGAAGAACTCTTTGTATCTTAATCAGTGTCAGGGTTGTAGATAATTCAAACAATTGATACTAACAAAGAAATGCCCAACAGTGAACAACCAGAATGGCGTGTCTGGTTATCTCTGTAGCCCTGTTATTTGTCAGGATATGTGCCAGCACATCTTGTCTTCTTTAAATGGTTAAAGAAATACCTAGAAGGTGAAACTTAGAGAGAGAGCACATTGTGTAAGGAGACATTGCAAAGGGAAACCAGTGGGGGAAGAAAGAGGGAGTTATCTAACTTAGCAGACAAGAGGGAAGAATAGCACAGATGGCCATGGTTGAAGTGATGGAGAGGGAATGTGACAATTACAAGAAAGATTTTGGAGGATTGAAAAAAAAAAAAATAGGAACAAAGATTCATTATGGGGAACATCTGGCTAGCCCAAACGGTAGAGCATATGACTCTGGACCTCAGGGTTGTGAGTTCAAGCCCCACATTGGGTGTAGAGAGTACTTTAAATAAAAAAGAATGAGAGAGAGATTCATTATAGTGTTTCAAAAGAAAATAAGCTAAAAGCTGGAGATGCCCACCATTACTTCTTAGCTCACATTCAGGGAAGAGGTAGCTTCAGGTACCGTATGACCCCACCCTCCTGGCTATAGCTCAGTAAACCAGAAATGCCCCCACCTGCGTCCCCAGCCCAATCATCTTCTGAGAAGCTGACACTGAGACACGTGGACTAACAGTAAAGGTCCCGAAGCTTTGGAGATGTGTGTGTGTGTGTATATAGATGTGTGTGTGTATATACACATAAAATTGGAGACTTAATCAAAGCCATACAAAAAATAAATTTTGTCTCTTTATTTTGTCAGCCTCTCAATAATTCTGAGTCACTCAGTGTCTTTTTAAGACACATTTGGCTCAAACTCACCAAAGTGGGTTCTGTTAATCGCAACTTATCAAATTCTGACCAAAATAGCACCTTATGCCCCAAAACTGTTCTCAGATCAGAACCCGACTTCTGTGCGGAATTGGTGCACCTTTCAGGTTTCTTGAGCACCATGATCTGGGACTCTGAGGGCTCGATCATGCTTTTCTGTGAGGGGGCCGGTGTAGTTTGCCTCACTGGTAACTAAGAAATTTTTCTCTGTGTAGGTCCCATCTTTGGTAACAAGTGTTTTGAGAAAACAGAATGAGGAAGACTGCTCTGGCCAAAAAGAATTGCGGAAAGAACTCAGCAAGCTAGAGGAGGTAATCTCTTCTCCAAGGTTCTGTCAGAGTAAATGATATACTATATCCCATCCTCCTCTTCTTTCTACACTGTTCTTTATACTCCCCTTTCCCAAAGCAGTTTTTGGCCATTAGTAATAACACCAAATAAGGAATTTTAGGTTAGGACAGATTGCTGTAAGCTGTTGTGTTTAGGATAGAAACCAAAACACCTAAAAATATTTTGTCATGGCTTGCTTTTAAAATATTTTGTCACACTGACAGTAAAATAACAAGGAAAAAAAAATGCACTAACATTTCCACAGTTTGTCACCTGTTTTCATTTTTGTATGCCTGTGTCTAGTCCTTGTCCGTATATTAAAACAAAATGGGAGGGAGGGAGGAAGGAAGGAAAAAGTTAACATAACTGTAATCAGAGCATACATACCATGCTGTGTTCTTTTTTCTACTTAATAGTACATATTAAACATTTCTCACCAGAGTTTGTCATGACTCATAAAGACACTTGGAGAAGACTGGATGAGTTTTTACCTCCTTTGGGGCACAGCTACCCTTTGGGCCTATAGATCAAGTCTTTCTCTTGGTTTTGAGACATTACATGCACTCTCAGCCTTGGGTTTTTACTGAGGGAAGACATAGTTCCTGCCTTGTATGGGAATGCATCCTAATATTTTATCAGTATTAAGCTTGTTGTGGATTTTTTTGGAATTTTTTTTTCATTAAGAAAGTTAACTAGTTTGCTAATTTTTTTTTAAGATTATTATTTATTTATTTGAAACACAGAGATAGAGATCATAAGTAGGCAGAGAGGCAGGCAGAGAGAGAGAGGGAAGCAGGCTCCCCGCTGAACAGAGAGCCCGATGTGGGGCTCGATCCCAGGACCCCAGACCACGACCTGAGTCGAAGGCAGAGGCTTAACCCACTGAGCCACCCAGGAGCCCCACTAGTTTAATGATTTTTAACAAAAATCATGTGATTTTGTTGAATGTTTTATCTGTATCACATCTATTGAGATGTTCATGGAATTTTCTTCTGTTTAATCTGATGAATATGGTGTTGATTTTTCTAGTGTTGAACCATCCTAGCATTACTGAGATAAAAACTCAAGAACTAGTTAATATTTAAATAATTTGCATATTATTAATAAGTTTGGATTATTTTGTTTTCATAGTGTTTTTGTTTTTTATATTAAGGATAGTCTAATTTGATAAAATGATAAAATGAGTTGGGTTACTTTCCCTGTATTTTTTTTAAATTTTTTTTAAATTTTTTTATTCATTATTAACATGTAATGTATTTTTTGCCCCAGGGGTACAGGTCTGTGAATCGTCCGGCTTACACACTTCACAGCACTCACCATATAACATAACGTCCCCAGTGTCCATATTCCCTGCATTTCTAATCTTTGAAATCATTTGATAGGGTTTGGCTGTTTCTTTTACTGACTAGCTGAGGAGATCAGTAGGTAATGCACTTACTTTCAGTTTTTCTTGATTGTATAATGCATTAATGACCAATATATTACTTCTAAATAATATTTTAGTTATGCCCAATTAAGGTTGTTTTTTTTTTTTAAGACAGATCTTTTTTTTTTTTTTAAGATTTTATTTACTTATTTGACATAGAGAGACACAGTGAGAGAGGGGACACAAGCAAGGGGAGTGGGAGAGGGAGAAGCAGTCTTCCCGCCGAGCAGAGAGCCCAATATGGGACTCGATCCCAGGACCCTGCGATCATGACCTCAGCTGAAGGCAGACACTTAGTGACTGGGCCACCCAGGGACCCCCCAATTAAGTTTTTTTTTTTTTTTTTTTTTTTTTATAAGATTTTATTTATTTATCAGAGAGAGAGAGGGAGAGCGAGCACAGGCAGACAGAATGGCAGGCAGAGGCAGAGGGAGAAGCAGGCTCCCTGCAGAGCAAGGAGCCCGATGTGGGACTCGATCCCAGGACGCTGGGATCATGACCCGAGCCGAAGGCAGCTGCTTAACCAACTGAGCCACCCAGGCGTCCCCCCAATTAAGTTTTAATAGGCAGGATTTTCGTTGTTCTGTTCTAAATTGGCTTTTTATGCTGTTTCCATTGTGATTTTCTCATTGCCTAGCTATTATTTATCAGTGTACTTGTAAGTTTCCTAAACTTTTTGCTATTTTCTAATTTAATTACATTATGGTCAGAGAATACATGTGGGATAATGTTTCTTTGAAGATTAAGACTTCTTTTGTGTTTGGCAACCTACTAGAGCTATGGACCCCTTCTCAGCATTTTTAAATGCTTAAGTTAAAATATATAAGATTGATTCGACTGTGGTTTATTTCAATATGGAAATACCTGCTAAATTTGGGGTTGGTAGGGGAGGAGGGCAGTATATACCTTTTCCCTATCTGCCTTCATAGACTCCAGATTAAGAACTCATGCCTTATAGTGAGTAGTGCCATTTCCATGTTTTAGCCTGTTGAGCGGATTATTTCGTCCTGACTGAAGCTGCCATACTTAATTTTATTTATACACAATATAATAACCAGACATTACAGTTGAAGGACAGACCCAGTTAATATTGATTAGTTGTACAATTCTGAGTGCCTAATAATTGCAAGGCACTCTCCCGGATAGTGTGAGAGGTAGAAAATAAGATACGGTCTATACTCTTCGGATGATTAGCTTGGTTGTGGACAAAAGACAAATACACCAGTAGATATAAGCCATCAGTCTACAATGCAGAATGTTATATGGGCCCTGAGGAAAACTATGAAAGTTTTATAAAGAGTTAAGTTGGTTAGGTGTTAAATTAGTTCCTCTACTTTGGCAAAACCATGAACACCAATGCACATTCTTGAATTTCAGAAACATACTCTTTGTGTTTGGTTTTCAAGTAATTTTATTTGACATTGGTCTAACGGTTAACCCAGTCATTTCCAGTGTATTTTGAGTCAGTTTTTTATTGAAGTGTTACATACAGAGAAGTACCCAAAGCATGAGTACAGCTTGATGAATTTTTACCAAGTGAACATAGTCATGGAACTAGCACCCATATCAAGAAACATTGGTTTGGGGGTGCCTGGGTGGCTCAGTGAGTTGAGCCTCTGCCTTCCGCTCAGGTCATGATCTCAGGGTCCTGAGATCGAGCCCCGCATCGGGCTCTCTGCTCAGCAGGGAGCCTGCTTCCCCCTCTCTCTGTGCCTGCCTCTCTGCCTACCTGTGATCTCTTTCTCTCTCTGTCAAATAAATCTTAAAAAAAAAAAAAAAAAAAGAAACATTGGTTTGGGCTGTTTTTATACTTTATACATATGGAATTCTATAATATGCTCTTTTTGGGGTCTGGCTTCTTTCATCCAGTATCAGTTTTGTGAGATTCATCTCTGTTGTATGCAGTTCTTTCCTATCCTTTCAACATATGACTATAGCACAGTTTATCCATTTTACTCCTGATGGACAGTAAATGTTTCCACTTTGGGGCTATTACAAATTGTGCTGCAGTTGACATTCTTCCACCTATGTTTTGTTGAACATGTGTTCACATTTCTGAAGAGTAGAATTACTGGGTTAGAGAATGCATGCACTTGGCTCTAGTACATACTGTTAAAACACGGTTGCACCAGCTTAGACTCCGACCAGCAGTGATTCCACACCCTTGTTAACTTTGTCTTGTTCATTTTAGTTATTACAATGGATGTGTAGTCGTATGACATTTTGGCTCTGAGTGCATTTCCCTGATGACTAATGTAGTTGAATACCTTTTCACATGGTTTTTGGCCATTAGAATATCCTTTTTTTCTGAAGATCAAGTCTGCCCCATTTTCTGTTGAGTTGTTTGCCTTTTTTCTTATTGATTCCCGGGAGTTCTCTCTATATTCTGAATACCAGTCCTTTGTTGGATATATGTATCACAAAGATCTCATATTCTGTTGCTTGCTTTATTTTTCTCTACTTTCCAGTTTATTTTATTGGTTGTTGGCTTCATCCCGAACCAGGAGATGCTAAAGTTCAAACGAAATGCCAGCTTGAATATGTCAGAGTAAAAGCTGCTGCTCTCACTTGCTCTACTTAAACTTGCTTTCATCATTTCTGATGATGAGTCTTATTAAATGCACCAATAACAAGTACTCTTCTGCTGTTTAACGTTCAGGTTCTTACCAATAAGAAGACAACCTTCTTTGGTGGCAATTCTCTTTCTATGATTGACTACCTTATCTGGCCCTGGTTTGAACGAATGGAAATTCTGGAGTTAAATGAGTAAGACATTTGAATATTTTGTGCATAAGTTAGGATAATGCTAATTGGAAGAGGATATATTGACCTTTTTTCTGAACAAAAATTAGAATATTTTATATAACTGGTATGAATGGGAACAGGCAGACAGGAGGAGAGTCTTGGACTATCCAGGGCATGTACTCACCACCCTTCTTCACTCCTGGAGTGTGTGGGGGAGGAGTGGACAGAGAGTTCCAGAACATGTAGTAAAATCTTTTAAAATTAACTTACTCCTTCCCTTCTGGTTAAAGAATCATAAGGAGGTTTATTTTTTATAGCATGTCATGCAGGATTGTCTGACCAGTGTTACCTCCCATTTACCGGCAGGATTCCCACACTCTTCCAAACTCATGTTCTGAATTTTGGCAGCCAAATCGGCTTACTATCAATTCTTAGAGCTTGGAGTTATTCAGGGTTATTTTTAGTCACAGTCTGGCTGTAGAATAAATATGTAACATTCATGGTTGTCTTTCATGTTCTCCCTTTAAAAAGTTACTAGTCTGCCTGGACAAATTCTCATGCTAACTAAGCAAGTCACTTCACTCTCTAAGATTCCTTGTCCATAAAACAAAGACCTTTACAATATCTTCCAAATCTAATATCCTGATTATGTGCATTTTAAAGTATTTAAAAGATTAGAGGAAAACAAAAAGAAACTGCAGAGTGCTAGTGATAATAGGAGCCTTTGTAATGCCTTCTACCTTTTCCCTTCCCACAGTTGTGTAGAACATACTCCAAAACTTAAGCTCTGGATGGCAGCCATGAGGAAAGATCCTGCGGTATCAGCCCTTCTCATCGAGCCCAAGGCCCTTCAAGGTTTCCTCAAACTCTACTTGCAGAACAGCCCCGAGGCCTGTGACTATGGGCTCTGATGGGGGCAAGAGTTGGCAGGGAAGAAATGTCTGACATTTTCCTTCATTAATATGAATAAAATAAGCTTTAATTTTATCAAGGGCTCTCACGTCTCACTGGATCACCTTCTCTGATTTGACATCATGGCTAAACTGTGGGGTTTCCTTAAGGACCTCCTGCGGAAGTATAAGCACATTTCCTGTCTCAGGATACTTCTGTGATTCTAAGGGTTTTATCGTAGTCTATGCTAAAAACCTCTAAGTCATCATCTCTGGTGAGAACTGGACTTCAACCTAGATTTCTTATTGCCTATAGGACACTCCACTTAGATACCTTGTTTCAAGAGCTACCCGCTCCAGTTTTCAGTTCCTCATTCTTTCCTTTCCATCAGCATCACCGTCTTTTATATTCCCATTGTCACTACTGAGGACCAGACTCGTATCACCTCAAAGTCAGGTGACTAGGTGTCCTCCTATTTGGTCTCCCAGTCTCCAATCTCAATCCCCTTCAGACTTTTCCTACCAACTCCAGTGCTGGGTACCTAGCAGGCGGACCCCATCGATGTAATTAAATACTGTGAAAACCCCATCCATCAATTCAGCGCAAGTCTGGATGAGTAATTCAGAAATACTCATCCCATCTTCCCGACGCGTCCATGGCCCACTGGGCTTCTATTTAATTTTGATCATCACCTCACCTCCATGAGAAGAAGGTAGGTCGGAGAGCATCATTTCATTCTACAGATGATTTCACCCAGATCCCGAGGTTGTGAGTCCTTAAGAGGCGGTAAGATCTGGAGAACACAGCCAGCACACGGCTCTTACTGTCAAAATCAGGGAGCCGTCGACCCGCCCCATCACACTCTCCTGTACTTATTCTTAAACGTAAGAGCGCATAACAATCACCTCCAGGCTCGCCGCGGGATTTCCGACACAGTGAGTCCAGGGTGAGCTGCGAAGTCCCGTCTTTGAAATGAGCTCCTCCCCCCGGACCCCGCCCCCACCCCACCGTGATGCAGGCGGTCTAAGGACCGCACCCTGAGAGGCAGTGAGAACCGGTTGACTTCACAAAAGGCTTCCCGCAGGCTACCCTCGGCCGCCACCAACGCCCAGGCTCCCGGCGGCCCCATCTTTGCCGCCGTCCGCCTGCCCCACCCTCCAGGCCCGGGTCGGCTGCGGGCGGATTTCAGTCGGATGTAGACCCGGGCGCAGAGGTACCACGACCAGCCAGTACCTGGCTTCCACTTTGGCCAGCCACAGACACCGGGAGGACTCGCGACTTTGGTGTCCAGCAGCGTGTAACGCGGCCGCCCATTGGCTCAGCTTCATACAGCTTGGCCGTAGGGCATCCAAAGGCTTTCAGAATTGGCCGGAGCTGCAAGCGCCGGGGCCGGTTTACGGGTAGGATAGCGTTCTAAGGGGCGGGATCCGCCTGGGCCCCGCCTCCCTCGGCTGCCACCGCCTTCTGCTGCGGCCTCGGCTCCGCGTCCGGTTCCGTCCGCTGGGCGCGCGGAGGCCCCTCCGGGAGGCTCTCTTTATCACCTCCCCCGGGTGGGTCTGTCCGGTCTTTGAGGCTTCAAAAGGGAGAAGGGCTTTGAGGTCAATTCTGGATTTGGGGATTATTTTCAGGAATTTCGGGTTTGCCAGCACTTTTTTTTTTTTAAAGAATTTATTTTCTGCCTGCCTCTCTGCCTACCTGTGAACTCTGTCAAATAAATAAATAAAATCTTAAAAAAAAAAAGAATTTATTTATTTGACAGAGAGATCACAAGTAGGCAGAGAGGCAGGCAGAGAGAGAGGGGGAAGCAGGATCCCTGCAGAGCAGAGAGCCCAGTGCGGGGCTCAATCCCAGAACCCTGAGATCATGACCTGAGCCGAAGGCAGAGGCTTAAACCACTGAGCCACCCAGGTGCCCCCGGGTTTGCCAGCACTTTTAAAAGAAAAATACAATGACTCGTCTTCATCAAAGTTTCATCAAAGAGTTGAACACCAAGAAAAGCACACAGTCTATCATTTAAAGACCAGGTCTTTAATGAGAATCCCTTTAGCTTAAAAAAAAAAAAAAAGCTCACTAAATTGTTCTTATTTTTCTGCTTTGGCTGGAGACAGGTAAAGATGACCACAAATCAGGAATTCTCAGCCCTGCATTGGGCACCGCTAGGTTAGCTACATTGCGGGTCCCTGGCAGGCAGGGGAATTCGGTCCACGGGAAAGTCCTCACTTTGTGAGTACGTATGGGACTTTCCTGCTACATTCAAATACTAATAAAAATAATGGCTAAGGTTACATGCTTACTAGATAGAAAATGCCTCTCAACCAGCATCTGAAGTAATCCTCCCCAAACCGCAGAATGTATTGGTACTATTAGCTCTAAATTGTGGACGGAACATCAGGGCATAGAAAATGGTGTATTTCCCAGGGTCACCAAGCTAATAAATACTGAAAAGATCATTCACATCCAGCCTGAACTCTTACAGTCATTTAGAGATGAGTTTACACTTGCTTCCGCCAGGGTCTGTCTTCACTAGCATTTAGAGGTTGAGTCAGGAGAGGATAGTTCCCACCTTTATGACACACCACTATTATGGCTGGGATTTAACAGGAAGTGTTGGTGTTCCTTTTACAAACTTAGTGTGTTTTGTTTAGACTTTACAAACATTTGACTTGGGCTGATTTCAGGGTCTTGAAAATCTGCCTTTTGCTCATTCAAATGTTACCATATTAAAATGTTTTAAATTTTTTTCTTTGATCCCCCAAGTTGTAAAGAGAAATCGGAATAGGAATAGGAAAGCAGAATCCAGTACTTAAAAACAGAGTCTCCTTTGACTCAGTTTTCCCTCATGGGAAGATGAAGTTCCGCTTCTGATAACTTTAGTAATCTTATTTGATATATTGCAGATGTTGGGGGGGGCATGAGGGGTGGGATAAAGGTGGTCAGAAGGTACACACTTTCAGTTAATAAGTCCTGGTGATGTAATGTACAACGAGATGACTATATTAAATGCTCCTGTATGGTATATTTTGAAAATTGCTAAGAAGTAGATCTTAAAAGATCTCATGGGGAGAATTTTTTTTTTTTATATCTTTATGAGGAGATGGATATTAACTAAACTTATTGTGGTAATCATTAAACATTTTCGGTAAATCAAGTCATTATGCTGTGTAACTTAAACTCATCCAGAGTTGTATGTCAATTATATTTCAATAAAAATGGAGCAAAAAAGTCCCAAAGGCATTAGAACACAAGATTCCCTATGATCCTAACTTCCTGGAAACAATCCTGAGTTTGGGCCTATTTGAAAACAGAGCCTTTTTCCTTACTTATCTCACTCATTGAACTTGGTGAACAATTTTTGAACACCCAGTAACATAATTTTTCATGTAAATTAGCTTCTGAAATATTAAGAGGAATGTCCTCCAGTTTCTGCTACTGCCAGAGATTGGTGTGGCAAAATTTTTTTTTTAAAAAACTGCAAAATGTAAATTCCACTTTCTCTCCTTTTCTCAAAGCAGAGACTTGTGTAATTAAAGAAATTATTTCTGCAGTAGCGTTCTTTTCCTGGAAGGCTCGAGTCATTGTCACCCATGACTGAAGTTTCCCATATTTTCAAAACAGATCCGATTATATCTCAGGTAGCTAGGAATAGATTGAGTAGGTTTTCATATGGTGCTATTACTATTTGTTGTGTGTGGTGGTTTTTTTTTCCTTTTTTTTTGCTTGAGTGAATCAGTATAATATATACTGGTATAAACATGATATAATAACATTAGAAAGAAAGTTTGCTTATAGGATTTCAAAAAGGTACATATTGGTTCCTAAAAAGGAAGTAGGGATAAGTTTAAAGGTTGTAATTAAAATCTTTCCAGGGAAACCCTAGCATTCAGTGGTAAGATTAAAAACCACATTACTGAAATGTAGCCTGCAGCATTCAACCCATTCAACTGGCATTAAATTGGTAACTGGCGAAATAAGTATTCTGAGTTGAATTTCAATTCCAATGTGCTTGGCAAAGCAGAATTGCAGTGTATTTGATCTTTATAGATACAAAATTGGAGTGCATTATGCTATTAAACATGTTCTTATTCACTAATATTAGTCATTAATTTTCAAGTACACTGAGCTTTTACTATACTGAGGATGTGCACAATGTCATTCAATATTCAAAACCTATCTGTTAGGTACTATTCGTGTTCTCTTTTTACAGATGAGGAAGATTAGAGAGGTTAGAGGTTAGAGAGGTTAGAGAGCTTGCCTAAGTGCCAAAGCCAGAGTTTAGATATAGTGCCAAGTAAGAATCTTGACACTGTATTGCTTTCCTTCAGAGGAAGAACTATTTCCATTGTTCTATCTATTCTTTTCTAACTACACCAGATATTTTAGAATGTGACTTCCCATACACAGATATACTTTTAATACAAATCTTCCAAATCTTAGAGTTGGTTTCCCTTAGGGGAAGAAAGTTGGAAATATGTTCTCTTCTGGCATAGTAAAAAGGTGATCCAGTAACCTTCTACTTTACAAATGGAATTCCCAGTTTGTCCATAGCTAATTCAGTCATTGTCACTGTAGACCCGGGGTGGGCAAACTAAGGCCAGCAGGCCAATGCCAGTCCCCTGCTGGTTTTTGTACAGCCCAAGAGTGAAGAATGGTTTTTACATTTTTAAATGGTTTTTAAAAAATCAAGAGAAGAATCATAATTTGTGCCACATGAAAATTATATGAAATTTACCATGAGTGAGCCCTCATGAAAATTATGGACTTTGGGCAATATTGTATCAGTGCAAGGTTGTCAGTTGTAAAAATGTACCTCTCTGATGGGGGATTGTTGATGGTGCAGGAGGCTGTGTTTGTGTAGGGGTAGTGAGTAAGTATATGGGATAACTCCATATATTCTCAGTTTTGTGGTGAACCTGAAACTACTCTAAAAAAAAAAGGCCTTTTAAAAATATATATAAAATTTAAATTCAGCATCCACAAATAATGTTTTATTGGAACACAGCCACCCCTGTTCATTAATATATTATCTATGGCTGTTTTCACTCTAAAATGTAGAGGTAAGCAGTTGAGACAAGATGGCTGGGAAAAGCCTCACGTATTTACTATCTCGACTTTTACAGAAAAGTTTGGCTATCTCTGATAATAGATAAGATTCTGGTTACAGTCCTGCCCTAGGAGTTGAACTTCCAGGCTTCACAGTCCTCCCTCTTTTTCTTAAACTCGTTATAAGGTTTTTGACAGGTGACTTGATCTTGCCAACGTCAGCTTAGTCATCTGTAAAATTATAGGGGCACCTGGGTGGCTCAGTAGGTTAAAGCCTCTGCCTTCGGCTCAGGTCATGATCTCAGGGTCCTGGGATCAAGCCCCAAATCCAGCTCTCTGCTCAGCAGGGAGCCTGCTTCCCCCTCTCTCTCTGCCTGCCTCTCTGCCTACTTGTGATCTCTGTCTGTCAAATAAATAAATAAAGTCTTTTTTTTAAAAAATGAAATTATAGAATTCTAATACGACTATTTTAAGGATTACATGAGTGAATATACATAAAGCACCAAATACATGTAAGTAATCATTTATTTTTATTTTAACAATTTCACAATCCTCTTATGGCCCTCCCCTTTAGAATCTGGATATATTTTCTCAACTCTTTGAAATCTGCTTTCTTTCTTTTTTAAAAAAGATTTTTATTTATTTATTTATTTATTTGACAGAGACATCACAAGTAGGCAGAGAGGCAGGCAGAGAGAGAGGGGAAGCAGGCTCCCCCGTGAGCAGAGAGCACGATGCGGGGGCTTGATCCCAGGACCCTGAGATCATGAGCTGAGTCGAAGGCAGAGGCCCAACCCACTGAGCCACCCAGGCGTCCCTGAAATCTGCCTTCTTTATGTGGGGATACATTTGTCTGCCTGGGAGTCATCTGCTTGTCTACCAGAAAATCCCCCATGACATGGTTATGTTTATTGCTTTAATTTTACCACCCAGTTTGTTCCTCTTGATCAAAATTAGCTCCAGAACAGTAGTCATCCTATTATTTTATCTGTCTCCCAAAGCACAAAATTGTTAGCATAGCAAGTCAGTTTATCTTTTCCAATACCAGATGTCTTGCTGACATACATGCATTTTATTTTCAGAGAACACTTATTCAAACATTTTTGCCATTCTCCTATTCTTACAAGGTGACAGCTCCTCAAAATCACACGAAGTCACTCTGACTTAGCAAAAAATGTAACTGAGTCACTATCCTGAAGATTTTAAAAGATTCTTATTCAGTAGAAAAAAAATGTTAACCTATTAACCAAGAATTTCTAAATAGATTGGAATTCCTAAGGCCAACAGTGACCCATTCATAATTACATAATTAGGTTCTGTCGTTTTAACAAAGCTATTTGGATTCAGCTAACATTTGTGCAGCTATTATGGGCTACCACTTTTCCAAGACTTACATTCTTTCCTATTCATACTGTTACCACCTTTAGAGGTCAAGATAGTAAGTCAGGCTTTAGGCTTTTAAAGTTCTTTGACCCCAATAGCTGATCACGTTGGAGAAATAATTTCATTTTTCTGAGGCTGTTTTTTGTTTTGTAAAATAGGAATAATACTACCTGCCTAACTGAGTAGTCATGGGAATCAAAGAAGGTAGTCAGTGGAAATCGATTAGTGTGAGTGGGACATAATCATAATTTTCTTTTCTTCTTTACCTGTCAATCTTATACAGTCCATCAACAAGCAATTCCCATTTCCACTCAGTTGTGTAAAATTAAAGGAATATTTTTTTAAAGGAATTATTTTATCACCTGATGAATTTCAAGATCTCAGCCTATCAGGGTCTGAGCAAAGGCCAGCTACCTCTTTTATCCAAGGTGGATGGAAGAGCTCTCCAAGTGGCACATGGCTGGGCTGTTGGCCATGTTTTCCCTAGCAATCAGAAAGTTTTCTCTGAAATGTATGCGGCAGGTGGAAAGAGTTCACAAATTTGTTTCTGCCTCTAGGTGAAGAATGTTTACATTCATCACCTGTTTTCCATAGCTGGGGCAAAGTCTCACAAATAGGGCCAGAACTAAAGGTGAAGCAAGTGTGGGGTCTAGGGCACCAAATTTAAGGAGGCACTCACTGCCAAGGTTATGCAAGATCGGAACGCTAACAAGGTTTTCTTCCTTATCTGCTATATCCTGAGGAAATTTGGTTTTATATAAAGCAAACAAACAAATCTTACTCATTATAGAGAGGTTGTGTCCAGTTGTCTTAGAGAGGCAGGAGGGAGGGCTTAGGATGGGAAAGAAAACATATTACCCTGGTCAAGTTTTATTAAACTCCCTTGAAAGATATGCTGGAGTTCAAATGCCCATTCTTCAGGGATTTTTTGATGTGGAGGAGAGACCCCACTGAATGCGCTGCCCACGTGTTCAAGGCAAGGGGTACTTTTCAGGGGTTTCTTGCCCACTCTCAACTCTGGGGCCTCTAGATCGGGGGGAAGTGTGTCTCTTGGTTAAGTTATCCTAGCTCCTATCCCAGATCACTTTCCCCTCTGTCCCCTTACCCTCACCCCCATCCCCACCCCTGAGCTATCACTCAAAAATTTAATTTGGGGCAGGAGGGGCGCGCTGGAGCGCGGCTGTTCTCGGAGCCTGCGGCCTCGGCGAGCGTTCTACGTCTCGCTCACGCTCGGAGATCATGGAGGATGCGTCTAGGTCCTTTGGGAAAGGTGAGCCCCCACGACCGCGGTCCCCGGACTGGGGTCGCCGTGTAGCTGGGAAAGTTGGCTCTGGAGAGGGGGTTGCTCGGCCTTGGCCCCCAGGCCAGCGCGGCGGGGAGGGATTTGAAGGGATCCTTTGCGCAAAAGACACATACAAATGTGTCTTCTCGGACGCGGGAGGCGGGGCGGGTGCACTTCTCCTGGGGTCCCGGGGGAAGCGAGTGAGCCCCTCTCCCCGTGGGCTTACGGGCCCCTGCCTCCTCGTCTCCCCCCACAGGAAGCCTCCCCCCCGGGCCGGTCCCAGACGGCCTGATCCGCGTCTACAGCATGAGGTTCTGCCCCTACGCGCATAGGACGCGCCTCGTCCTTCGGGCCAAAGGCATCAGGTGAGAAGCCGGAGGCCTGAGCCGCGCAAGCGCGCGGGGTGTTCAAAATCTGGGGCGCCCTGCTCTGCCTTCAGAGGGGCTCCTAAAAGGTTAGTCCTGGGCGGGTTCTGTAGCGGGTGGTCCGCAACCGCCCAGCTTTCTTCCGAGCGGAGCCGAGTCTGTGCGTGAAACTTTCAGGACAGCTCAGTGCAGACCTAACGGGGCCTCTGGTGAGAAGCCTCCCTCCCGTACTCGAGGCTGAAGGCAGGGCACTGCGGGGGCTCCCCAGGCCTTCCAGGACCGCTCCAGCCAGCCAGCCATCCCCACCGCTTCCATTCACCCCCCCCCCCCCCCCCCCGCCCCCTCCCCACCCCCCCGCCATCCCCCAAAAGCTAAACGTCAGTTCTTGAGGGTAGGGTTTTTGTCTCTTTTACTCATGAGCTAGCAGAGAGCCTGGTGCGAGGTAGGTGTTCAAAAATATTTTTTTGAATGAATGGACAAATAGTTCCAAACAATGACATAGAAAAAACTTCAGTCAAGAGGCCTCTTTAAGGTTCTGGCATACTTGAAAAATAGATCCATTTTCTTCCAGAAGGAATTCTGTAAAACCAGCACCTGCCTGGGAGGTCTGGATGTGGGAGGCAGAGTCACTTTGCTGGAGTAGGAACTGGGTTGGGGGGAGGCAGCTGGCCTCAAAGCCAAAGTGAGGCTTTTGACTCTTGAAGAGTCCATCCTTTTAAGGGATGATTTCAGAGTTTCAGATTCATGTCAGAGAAATACTAATATAGAGACATTTTAAACAAAATTACATAATTCTGCTTTGTTGAGTGTATATGGAATGTATTTCCAGATTCTTCCTTATTGTTCAAGTCTCCTTGGCCCCAAGGTTACCTATTTAAAATAACAGTTACCTATTTCAAATAAAATTTAGAGAACAGTAGCCCGATGTTTACCCTTAGTGACAAAATGGTAGCTTAGGAACCAATGTAAATATTTCTTTAGGGCAGGGTTTCTTGGCCTTGGCACTGTTGACATTTTGGGGCAGGTTTAGTTTTGTGTGTACATGTGTTTGGGTTGGGATGGGGCGCTGTCCTGTGCACTGTTGGACTTTTAGGAGCACCCTGGCCTCTCTGCATTAGCTGTGACAGTCGAAAAATGTCTCCAGACATTGACTTGTGTCCCTGCAGAATGGGGCAAGATCACTCCCTGTTGAAAACCACTGCTTTACGATTTAAGACCATCTCCTTGATGGAGCAAAGAATATACTCATTTGTTTCCTTTAATCTTTTAAACATAGGTGAGCACTTCTGGTAATTTTATAGGCTTGAGCCTCTAATGATGATAATGAGAATAAGAAGAAGGTTATTGATGTTTATGTACCTAGGCACTGTCCTGAGCATTTCAGACATACTCACTTACTCAGTCCTCACAGCAGTGCCAACAGATGGGTACCATTATTACCCCCATTTTCCAATTAAGGACATTGAGCACAGAGAGGCTAAGGAATTTGGCCCGCATCACAAGCTAGACTGTCCAGACCCCAGGCAGTCTGATGCCAGCATTCAAGCTCCTAACTGCGGACATTTACCATATTCTGTTGTGACCTGTTAATATCAGATGTGCATTTGCAAGTGTTAAGATGTTGGAAACTCTGGAATGCGGTGGTTAAGTGCCTGCCCTCTGAGTCAGACTCCCTGGCTCTCAGTGCAGTTCTGATGTTTCCTCGCAGTGATAATGGGCAGGAGGTTGAAACTCCTGGAGCCAGGAGTCACAAGGAACACGTGAGACAAGGCAGAGAAAACATTTAGCACTCTCAACTACAGGCATGAAGACAACGACCTTGCTATGTATTTTTCTCTGGAAAAACCCAAACTTTGGAAAACTTATGGCAAACTTAAATTTTATAAATTGATTGCTTCTGCTTTTGGGGATGAGTGTCTGCCTGCCTAAGCCTGCCTGCCTTTCTTTCTTTCTTTCTCTCTTTCTTTTTTTAAGATTTTATTTATTTGACAGACAGAGATCACAAGTAGGCAAAGAGACAGGCAGAGAAAGAGGGAGAAGCAGGCTCCCTGCTCAGCGGGGAGCCTGATGTGGGGCTCTGTCCCAGGACCCTGAGATCATGACCTGAGCTGAAGGCAGAGGCTTTAACCCACTGAGCCACTCAGGAGCCCCTAAGCCTCTCTTTCTAGTTGTCTTGTTTTCCCTTTGCTTTTTAAGACATGAAGTTGTCAACATTAACCTGAGAAACAAGCCTGAGTGGTACTATACAAAGCACCCTTTTGGCCAGATTCCTGTCCTAGAGAACAGCAAATGTCAGTTGATCTACGAATCTGTCATCGCTTGTGAGTACCTGGATGACGCTTACCCGGGAAGAAAGCTGTATCCATATGACCCTTATGAGCGGGCTCGCCAGAAGATGTTATTGGAGTTATTCTATAAGGTATAACCAGTTTTTTAAAAAAGTCACTTACATACAGTCCATTTTACTTTGTATGTGTTTCCCAAACTTAGGTTCATTTTTGAAGCTAAGTCATTGGTCCGATCATTTTGTTGCAACATTACCTGCCTCTTAGGTGGGTAACTAGTATGGAATAATAGTAAGGCTGTCCCCTCTGATATTAAAGATGGAAGGTTTAACTGATAGGCTCTTTTCTATTTCGACCAGCAGTCTCAAGAGGTATGGTTATGGCATGGTTAGGACCATGTGACTCCAGGTAGGAGTGTTGGAAGAGCTGAAAACTGGTAGTGTGTTAAAGGAAATATTTCTGAAGTTTCAGGTAGAAAAATTGTTGGGGTGTGAAGAAGGGAATGCATGAAAGGGAATTGCCCTTTATTCGGAGCAGCAGTCCCAACTGTGCAGGAAATGTGAAGAAGAGAGAAAAGGGGGTACCTGTTGATAATCCAGGAAAAAATGATGGGGAAATTTTATGATAGTTCTCTTTAAAAAGAGATAAAAGGAACTCAGGGACATTAGTGGCCGACATAGCTTGAGCATTTATGCTGTACCAAGCACTGTCCTGCCTGCTTTATAAAGGTTAACTCATTTAATGCTCACAAGTGCCCTTTAGGGTAGGTACTGTTACTGTATCCATTTTTCAGATGACAACACTGAGGCTTAGAGAGGTTAAGTGCCCTGCCTAAGATTGTACAGCACGGAGTAGCTGAGCAAGTAAGGAGCACTGGAGAACCCCTTTTAAAGCACCCTGTTTTACCATGGTGCGGTGACCGTGGATTTCTGGAACCAAAGGGATGACCCTCCGAGGAGGTGGGGAGCCTGAATGTGGCTGTTGGCTTGTTAAGTTGGAGTGATAAAGCTCTGGCTACAGTTTTAGAAAGAGCAGGAGCCCAGAGTTTCCTCAGACTGCTCTACTAAGAACCTGTGTTCTCTGATTAGGTCCCACACTTGACCAAGGAGTGTCTGGTAGCATTGAGATGTGGGAGAGAATGTGCTGATCTGAAGCTAGCCCTGCGTCAGGAATTCTGCAACCTTGAAGAGGTACGAAAAGGGGCTCCTCTCCTGGTCAGATACAGTGCAAGAAGCAATGCAGGGTCCCCAGCCTGGACCCCCTGACACCCCCTGCTTTCACAGACTTAGTCTTTCTGTCAGTCTTTGATAAGTTCAGCTACTAGTCATCTAATTTTAACCTGTGGGTGCTTCCCCTCCACTCACCTGCTATAGAATTATTCTTGAAAATGTGGCAAGAATACAATAGCCACAGTAGGGAAAGAGCCCAGATGTCCATCGACAGATGAATGGATAAAGAAGACGTGGTACATATATATAATGGAATACTACTCAGCCATCAGAAAAATGAAATCTTGCCATTTGCAACAATGTGGGTGGACCTAGAGGGTATTATGCTAAGTGAAATAACCCAATCAGAGAAAGACAGCTATCATTTGATTTCACTTATATGTGGAATTTAAGAAAAAACAGAGGGGCATAAGGGAAAGGAGGGGAAAATAAAACAAGATGAAATCAGAGAGGGAGATAAACCATAAGATACCCTTAATCATAGGAAACAAACCAAGGGTTCCTGGAGGGGAAGGGGGTGAGAGGATAGAGTACTGGGTGATGGACATTAAGGAGGGCACATGATGTAATGAACTCTGGGTTTTATAAGACTGATGAGTCACTGAACTCTACCTCTGAAACTAATAATACATGAAATGTTAAATAATTGAAAATTATTTTTTTAATTTAAATGAAAATTTAAATTTATTTAATGTAAATGAAAAAAATAGTGAAAAAAAACCATACATACCAAATTTTCTTCATCCATTCATCCATCACAGAACATTTAGGTTGTTCCAACATCTTGGCTATTGTGAATAATGATGCAATAAACATGAGTGTGCAGATGTCTCTTTGAGATAATGATTTCATTATCCAGAAGTGGAGTTGCAGGTTTACATGGTAGTTCTAGTTTTAATTTTTTGACAAATCTCCGTAATGTTTTCCGTTGTGGCTATACTAATTTATATTCCTGGCACAAATTCCTTGTATAAATATATTTATGTCTGGGCTCTCTATTCTGTTCCACTAATGTATGTGTCTGACTTTGTGCCATTCCCATACTGTTTTGGTTCCATTTATTTTTATCCTCTCTAGTTAAATTTTTTTAAGATTTACTTATTTATTTATTTGACAGACAGAGATCCCAAGTAGGCAGAGAGACAGGCAGAGAGAGAGGGGAAAGCAGGCTCCCTGCTGAGCAGAGAGCCCGATGTGGGGGCTCGATCCGAGGACCCTGGGATCATGACCTGAACTGAAGGCAGAGGCTTTAACCCACTGAGCCACCCAAGCGCCCCCTCTCTAGTTAATTTTAAAACTGTATTTTCAGTGTAAAAATCTTGCATTTTTTATTAAATAATTCCTAGATATTTTTTTATATTATTGTACATGGAATTGATTTCTTAGTTTTTTTCAGATTTTTCATTAATAGGGTATGGACTGCAACTGGATTTCCACATATTGATTCGGTATCCTGCTCTGATATTTATTGTATATTCTTTGAGGGTTTTTTTTTTTTTTCCAATATATAAAATTGTGTCATTTCCAGGAAAAAGAAAGAAAAAAGAAAGAAAGAAAAGAAAATCTGGCAAGGAAGGGGGAAGGGCATGTGCTGAGTTTCTCCCTTTCCCTGAATCACCACATTCCTTAGGTGGTAGCTCTGTATGGCTATCTGTCTGTACCTCCTGCTAATGAAGCTAAGATTTACATTCGTTAGGGATTTTGTTTGGCTGCTAGTAAAAGGGACCTACCTACTGTGAACTTATTTTATAAGGGTTTATTCTCTTACACAAAAAAGCCAGAGGTAGTGCAGTTCAGGGCTGTTTTGATGGCTTTCTTATAGTTACTAGGGACTGAGGATCTTTCTCTCCATCTGTTCTGTCATCCTGAGTACAAGTCTTTCATTCTCAAAATGACAAAATGGCTGCTGGAACTGCAGCCATTACATCCATGCTCCAGGTTGCAGAAAGGAGAACAGAGGGGGAAAATGGCAAAGGGCCATGCCCCTTTATTCACAGGCTTTTGGGGTGCCTGGGTGGCTCAGTTGGTTAAGCATCTGCCTTTGACTGGGGTCATGATTTGGGGTGCAAGGATGGAGCCCCACATTGGGCTCCCTGCTCAGTGGGGAGTCTGATTCTCCCTCTGCCCCTCCCCCACTCATGCTCCTGCGCCCACTCTCTCTCTCTCAATCAAGTAAATTAAAAAAAAAAAAGGCTTTCCCAGAATTCCTACTCAAGGACTACTTAAATCTCATTAAGCCAGAACTTAGTTGTAGCATAACTATGTTCAGGAGAGGCTGGGAAATGTAGTTTTTTCGAGGGGGACACCCTGGATAAAATCAGGGTCCTGTAAGAAAGAGGGGAAAGTGACTATGGGTACGTTAGTCAGGGAACAATCTGGCAGTAATATGGCTCCTTACCCCTTACCTCTAGAATAATCTGGAAGGTGGTTCTATGACTTCCTTTATCTTTGTTCTAGAAACTGATAATTTCCCTTTATGGGTGGGTTGTAACTCTGTTGGCAACCATCAGAATGCTATTTTTATCCTCTTAAGGGAAAACTGATTATTAATACTCTTCCATTTGACCTTTGTCAAGTGGAAGCAGATTAAATTTATTTACACTTCCAGCTGCCTCTCTTAGATTTGTACAGTTGCAGTATTTATGGATGATAAATAATCGTCTATAAGAAATGACTTTCATGGGGCGCCTGGGTGGCTCGGTGGGTTGAAGCCTCTGCCTTCCGCTTGGGTCGTGATCCCAGGGTCCTGGGATCAAGCCCCGCTTCGGGCTCTCTGCTCGGCGGGGAGGCTGCTCCCCCCCCCCCCCCCCCCCCGCCCCCTTTTTTTCTTGTTTTTTCTGTCTGTCAGGTGAATAAATAAAATCTTAAAAAAAAAATGACTCTCAGAAGAAAAAGACGCTCTGATTTATAGTGTTTTCTGTTTCAGGGATGTAAATACTCCCACCAGAGGCTGATTTTGACCTACCAATGTTGTGTCTCCAAGCTCAGGGTTGAGAAGAGATGTCATTGGTGGTTGGTCAGCTCTGGCACATCCCTGAAGAACACATTTCCACTTTATCTTCAGTAGCTGAGTTCTAGAAATAACCCATTAACTAGCCCAAGTGTAGGTAGCTTTCACGGATGGTAGTTAAGGACCTCTGAGTGAGTATCCGGCATTGTTCTAGCAGATTTGAATGTGGTTTTGTCCCATCATTACCAAGAGTTATAAATACTATGTAGGCAATATCAGAATCTGAACCCTGCCCAGTTAGCTGAATTATTTGATCCAATCCTCTAAATACAGTATATCAACTTGAGGAGATTCTAGTGAAATAGAAACTTGTCAGAATAATTTTGGTAGAGAATGTTCCCTGACTTATGCAGCTCTTTTGCATGGTTGTGTGTAATCAGGATTTTGTTTGAGCTGAAAGTGTGTTACATATACATGGTCTTTCTGAGGGATAAGCAAGTTGAGATACCACTATGTGATCTTCTGCCATGTTATTCCCAAGCAAAAGGCTCAGTTTACCTTTACAGCCTTAAACTCTGACAGTTTGTTTTGCCGTAAATGCCCCTGACTTTAGAATTTTTTCTTAAAAAATAGTTTCATCAAAATGAAAGGTCAATCGTGCTTCTTCTATAATGGCATTTTTCTGTAATAGGTTCACAGTTGTTTGAGATGCATGACTGCTGTTTTAATGATCAAACCGGCATCCTCCCTGCTCGCTTTCCCGTTCTGAACATTTTCGGGAGTTTTTTAAAACGGCGGGGAGGCCATTCTGTAACCACACTTTCTGTTTTCAAGCCAAGTTTCTCGTCTTTACTGAATCAGTGTCAGCGGTACTCATCTTTTTAGTTTTATTCTTTTTTTTTTTTAATGTTTGTGATTGATTTCACCATATCAGAATAGCACTTTGAGCCCACTTCCATTTTATCCTTGTGGGTTGGAATGTGCCAGACCTTCCAGCCCTGCTGCTGCTGTTCTTCCTCCTCTTTCTCCTCCTCCTCTTTGCCAGTGACCTCATTCTGAATGTTTGCGTTGTGGAAGCACTCGGCTCAAGTACAAGGGCAGTGAAAGACAGGATTCGGCCCGATTTCTCTGATGCTTCAGAATTTTGCTCTAGTTCAGGGTTTCTGTGCATAATGGATTCTGTCTTCTGGCTGGCTATTCCTTGATCTCCTGCTAGTCATCAGCGGAAGTCCATCCAAGGAGAAGAGAAGGGCGGTGACATAGAGCATTCTGGAAAAACGCTAAGGGAGTGACAACCTGCCTGAGGCCTTTGGCTCCTGGGGGCCACAGGACCCTTGATGTTGTTAATTCGTGGCATTCCCCAAACCGCCTTGTGGTATCTCCATGCCAGGTTTCCCACGTCGCCAAATTTGATTCTGTGCCTTGTGTACGCAGCTGTTTGCCTGAGGTCAGTTTGTAGAAGTTGTCTTTACAACATCCAGGAGCGTCTCTAGTGAAATATTTTCTTGATTCAAAATTTCTCCTTAATTAAACCTTAATTAAAAATTAAGGCTATAGCCTTAATTTTTAATCTGTTCTTTCTCCTCTCCAGAAAGAATACATTTGTACCCAGTTAGATCATATTGTCTTTGTTAAGTTTTGCTATTTTTCTTTCTTAATTCTTATTAACTTCAATAATGAAATTACTTATGCGTTGCTTAATTGTTTCTCTTTGGATGTCACTAGGACAGGAGGGAAGGAAAGTTTATATCTGGCTAATTGTTCACTGAAAATAATTTTCTATAGCCTTTTGTGTACGGCAGCCTTGTGTGTACGGCTAAGTTTATCTTGTTATCAACTAACTTACCATGTCTACAAACTAAATTCATTGTTGCTACCTATTTTTTATAACAGCTTTATTGACATAATTCACAGACCACAAATTCACCCTTTTCAAGCGTACAGTTCAGTGGTTTAATATTTACATAGCTATGCAACCATCACCACTAGTTAATTCTAGAACATTTCTAGA